ACAGAAAATTGTGCTTGGAATTGGCTTTTGAACATTTAAGAATAGTAACATCCAAGAGAGATAGTTGGCATATGAAATTGGGAAAGAAACCCCAGCGACCCCCCACTGGGAAGGTGATTACATCGTGTCTTATTAACTAATCCTTTGGTGAAAAGGACTTGCCTCAAGGAAGTGGGATAAGCCCTCACTTCGTGCCCTCGTCCAAATGACCATTTGCTCAGCTGTCCAACAGCTGACGTGCTTTGCAGGAGGTGACAACTTGATGTTGATGAGCAGTCTTATTTTCATTTATCTTTATTTTCTACTTTAGATAATAGATCCTCCTAATAGAATAGGGAGCTAACACCTTAACTCAGTGGTTCTCCATTAGCAATTGTCGACATGCTCAATAAATTAATTTTTATCTAAAATAACATCCTGGACACACATTTAAAACTAACATTCTTTATCATTATTAAGGTAACTCATATTTATTATAAAGATTTTAGGAATTATAGAAATGCATGAAAGAAGAAACTAAAAATTACTCATAATCCTTCAACCTACCCTGTTAATGTTTTTTTTTTTTTGAGAGGGCTTCTCTCATATTTATTGATCAAATGGTTGTTAACAACAATAAAATTCAGTATAGGGGGGTCAATGCTCAATGCACAATCATTAATCCATCTCAAGCCTAATTCTCGTCAGTCTCCAATCTTCTGAAGCATAACGAACAAGTTCTTACATGGTGAACAAATTCTTACATAGTGAATAAATTCTTACATGGTGCTGTTAATGTTTTGATATGTAGTCCTGTTGTTCCCCACATACATGCACACAGTCATAAAACTAGGGAGGTTGTGGTGTGTGCATGAGCAGGATTATTAAAAATATGTTATGACCTGGTCATAGTTTTGTGCATAGTTTTGAAAAATGACCTGTTTTTAGGTTTCTGAGGAACACTTTGGTCACCAAACGTTGAGCTGAAATTCAGCAGTGGTCTGTCATGAAAATTCTTAAGATGTGATGCAGGTATATTGAAAATAGCAGTCATTTTTAACATCTATACCAAACATTGTTATAATGTCAATTTATTTCATAAAACCCTGAAAAGCTAAAATTATGGGACAAGGTCAAGCTCATTCTTACAAACTCTGTATGATATTGATATATATAAAAAACACAGTGAGGAAATGGGGACTAATTTATTGAACAACTGTGTGTCAGGCAGAGTGCTAAATATTTTGAAAGATTGACTTCACATATGGCATCTGTAGAGAAAACAAGGTTTGCAATCTCTGTACCTATAAAGTAGGGTAGAGATAATGTAGGTTCCAATTCCTGAAATTTAAGGAAGGAAAAGACAGAGGGTGGGTTTTGATCAGAAATATTTAAATTCATTGCTGAGCAAAGGTAAATGTCATACTTGTCTATTTTCTCCTTACTTTGAGTATGGAGGCATAGCTTTAGTGAGCATTAAAATTTTTATCTTCTCTGGGGTAGATTTTTGCCTAATAAGAATGCAATGTAATTTATTTTGCATGAAAGATATTCTTTGTGCAGCTGTATCAGGATTGTTCTTTTATGCACTTCTTATTGTAGAGGGGTCTCTGCCTTCTGCTGATCGAAGGTAATAGAAGACACCTCCGGAATACATTTCCCTAAAGTTATGATCAGATATGCTATGGGCTTACATTACAAGTCATCTCAATGCAAAGTGGAAAGTCATTTACTGCAGTTACAGGAAATGCAAATTTGATCTGGTGTGTGACAAGTTGAACCTTATTTCACTGCCCATGTTAAAGAACTATCTTGCTGCTTGCACATTGTTTTGGATAACCTCTCCGTTGGGAAGTCTGACTTAAGGTGGCCATAGACATATTGCTGCACTTTAATGTTTGCAACTGTCTTAAGTAATGTATCCTCTACATCCGTAGGGAGAGACATGACAAAATTGTCCTGTGGTCGTGGGGCTAATACCTTTGTCAGGAGGACATTGGTGCGATGTTTCTTTATGTGATTTTTGTTTTAATTAAAGTTAACCTTTGCCCAAGAACAACTGGGCACTTAGAATGTGTTTTTTTGTTATTGTTAACAGCTTACTGCTGGTCTTCCCATTTATCATCTCTGGATCCTTACACAAAACTCTATGGTGGGGTGGTTTTTAAGAGCAGGTTCTGGAACTAGCTAGTTGAGGGTTTGCATTCTAGCTTGAAGGGCTAGCTGTGATATTTAGTGCAAGGAACTTAACAAGCCTAAGCCTTGATTTCTCTGCCGGTAAAATGAGGCTAATAATCACACCAAATTTATGGGGTTGTTATGAAGGTTAATGGAATGGACATGAAATTCTTAACACGTTTTCCTCAAGGAGTGAGGTCTTTATGAATCCTGTTGGGTGGATGAGGCAAATACAAAGATACCAAGAAGTTAAGTAAGACACTTGGCCTCAGGCCACATAGAACTGGACGCAGACCCACCATCCCATTTCAGTCTTCTCCTAAAGCTGCTTTGCTGTCTTAATTAAAAACAAATGTGTATATGTAGCTGTTGATTTTTAAATGTGATATTTTGTCAACAAAAGTAATTATGGGGCATATGCATTGCAGAAGGCCTTGTGTGGGGCAACAGGGCTATAACAATGGGGCTTATCTACATCCTGGCATCCACACACGAGCACATACAAGCATGAATCCACATTTAGATTGTGTCCCTCTCCAAGGAAGCCTTAGACTCTTTGCACATGTTACTTCCAGTTATGATTCTGTCGTAACATGGCATTGACTTAGAGCCTCGGCTTCCTCGTTAATAAGAAAGAAATAATAGTCCTTGACTTGTAGTATCATGACGATTAATCAAGATACCATGTGGAAAGTTCTTAACACCAAGCCTGGCACAGAATAAATTCCTATGGACATTAGCAAATATCTTGATTGTTCCCTTTGCAGATGGTGCTGGTGCCTGTGGTGTTTTTAGAGAGTCAGAGGGGGAGGACTTTGCAGTCCTTCCTGACCAGTCAGTCTAAAAGTTAGCTGTCTTATTTTCTGCACAGCTCTTATGACTATATGACTTGACTTTTCTTATTTATCATGTTTCCCTCCACTAGTAGTATATTCCATAGAGGAGGGAACCCAGGACAGTGCTGGACACCTGGCAAGTGTCACCACAAAAAGTCTATGAATAAAAAGTCTGTAAATAAATAAAAGTGTGTGAGCAAATTGATGAGTAGAGAAGAGGTTGAGAGCAATGGGGAAAAAGACAGGAAATGACCTGTGTGAGCAGAGGGAGGGAATGGCCTACGCTACTATCTCTCACATGGAATTCTGGGTCCATCACCACCCAGCATTTGGTAAAAATGAGCAGCTGGCTGGAGGAGGTGGGTGTAAGTAGTCACACTGATGTAGAGTGTGGGCGTTTCTCCTCACAGGTAAGTGTGACTCATGTTCACATACTTATCTTTGATCCAAGTTCAGGGCAACTGTCACCCCCCAAAACTTTCATGGCTGTCGCAGGCCTGCCACAGAAACCCCGTTTTTCAATATCTTGGTTAGCCTGCAGCATGGCAGTTCGGAGTTTCAGTTCATCAGATTCCATACAGAAGCCTGTAACGAGCAGTAACTGAGTTCCTGTATGTGAAACAATAGCGACAGTGACTGGCGTTCAGCGGCAGCTCCACCAGCAACGTTCCCTGTGGTTGCTGATGGCATTACTTTCGTCATTATCCATTTATTCAAACAGGATTTATGGACAGCCTGTCATGTGCTGTAGATGTTCTGGGCTCAAGATATTCAAAGGTGAACTGAACAGACCAGATCTCCGACTTCGTGGAGCTTATGATGTAGTGGAGGCGTTCAGAAAATAAAGTTCAGTATGTTGAGCAGAATAGTGAATGACTGTCCCACCTTGGGGGTGGCTGTGGACTGCACTCTTTGGAGAGGACAGGCCACTCTGCACCCCCCAATGCCCCACCTCATTTAACATTGTCGCTCGAGTTTCTTGTGAAGATGCATCAGGTTAGATGAATAAACAAATGAGCCAGTGAATTTCTGAGAGGGGCCCAGTTTCATCTGGGCATTGCAGGTTCTGGGCTTAGACTGTGTGTGCACATGTGACCAAGCTCTGCAATTTGTGGACTCTATGTTGCAAAGTATGGGTTACAGTATATGTGGGTAGGTGCAGGGAAGATGAGCGTGTGAGACCACCGATATACATTAAGTAAAATCTGTGTGTCTGAGGTAGCATGGAAGGCAAAGTCTTTGTGCATTTTTGAGGTAAATCAGAATTTATGTGTGAGCCCAGGTGTAATGTTCTGACTGAGGTAAACCTGCCCTTGAGTCAGCCTGTGAGGTATCAGCCTGGGGTTGTCATAGGAGCACAGGGTAAAAGTTTTTTGCAAGGCAGAATCTAGGGATGTATGCATGTCTGTGATCAGTAATGTAATCGTGAGGCAAATTACGGGCCAGTAAAAAGCAAAATCAAGGGGGCTGTAGATGAGCTGAGAACAGGTCTAAGTGTAGACTGTAGGCGATTATAGGCTCTTGTGATTGTCAGTGAGGAGGGTCCTTCTCTGTCTCTCACTGTTTGTCTCTGTAAACCAGTTCAGAAGTTCTTTATTTGAGGGTGCAGATTTCCAAGGCAGATTCTAGAACGGGGAGCAATTATGGGACACTTCGAAGATGGATTATGGGTGAGCAAAGTTTAAGACTGTGATGGTGAGCCTGAGTGTGAGTGTGAGTGTGAGTGTGTTCGTGAGTCAGCCCTTGGCTCTTAGGTCGGCGCACCTGAGCCCAGCAGGTTTCCGGGCTTGAGCTGGGCAGGGGGGCTCGTGTTTTGCGGGGCAAGCTCGGGAGTCGGCGCGGGCCCAGCAGGGTGTGTGCGCGCGTGTGCGCGCCCCGTGGGGCTGGCGGCTCTCCGACGGGCGCGGGGGGCGCGCCGGGCTCCGGGCGCGGGGGCGCGGCGGCGCGGAGGTCCGCCCCTCGGCTCGCGGGCCCGGCAGGACCCGGGCAGCGCCTCCCCCGCGCAGGCTCCGGGCCGGCGCGCGCCGCGGCAGCCGCCCTCCGCGCCTCCGGAGCCATGGCCGCGGGCCGCAGGGGCTGGGACGGCGCCCGCGAGGACGACCTGCCCGTGTACCTGGCGCGGCCGGGCACCGCGGACCAGGTCCCGCGGCAGAAGTACGGCGGCATGTTCTGCAACGTGGAGGGCGCCTTCGAGAGCAAGACGCTGGACTTCGACGCCCTGAGCGTGGGGCAGCGGGGCGCCAGGACGCCCCGGAGCGGCCAGGGCGGCGGCCGCGGCCCGGCGAGCGGAGCCGGGCCGGACGCGGACCCCCCGCGCAGGGGCCGCGGCCGGGAGGAGGGCGGGGAGCCCGCGCCCGCGCCGCCCGCGCCCGCCGGCGTGGAGATCCGCAGCGCCGCGGGCAAGGAGGTGCTGCAGAACCTCGGCCCCAGGGACGAGGTAAGGGGGCCCGAGCCCTGTCCCCCGCCCTCGTTTCCTTCCCAGCCCGGGCAGCCGTGGCCCCGAAAACTTTCTCCCGCTCACTTTGCAGGGGACAGAGGGCCGGGAAGGGGAAAGGGGCACCCTCCACAGAGGGTGGCACGACCTCCTGCCCGGACCCGGATTCGCGCGGTCCCCCAATTGCAGCGTCTTAGTGCGCGTGGGACCGGGGACGCGCGGGTTCCCCTGCTCCCGGCTGCACCCCCGGGCCCTGAGATCTGGGTGGGTGTGTCAGCCCAGCCAGCCAGCAAGGCGTAGTGATTCCCAGCCCTCCTCTGGGCCGAGAAACCACCAGCACAGTTGACTCGGCCCCCCACCCTGGCCCTAGATTAAAATCTCAGCCCTGTCACCAGAGCGGCGGGCACACCGGTGCTGGGGAAGCGGGGACCTGTGCATAGCTTCTGGATGCAAGTACAGGACAGGCGTTCTGCCCTCTCACTCCTCAGACAGCACATCTGTGTCCCTGGAACTTCTGGGTGTGGAGCCACTAGACTAAACACCCAAATCTCCATGCCTCTTTTTTGCCTTAGATTTCACATTTGTGTTTGAAAAGTGTGTGTGTGTGCACGTAGCTTGGCATGAGACTGGGTACCAAAGGGATCCAGCCGTCTCTGGAAGAATATCATTGTTACTTTTGAAAACAGGCGAGAGTATAAAGGGTGCCCGTTAAACAAATTTCTGCAAATTTCTGGCTGTTTTTACATGTGCCAAAGCCAATTTCTTCTGTATGTGTATTTTTGAGAAACTCATGTCACACCTAACTGACCGAAGGCATGGCGTTGAAATCCAGCTTGACCTCTTTTATCGGTTTGTGTCATAGAAAATTGTGATTGTAATTCAGAAAATTCAGGGCTTGGGCAGGGGTGGAGCATTCAGAGTTCAAACTGATGCTTTTGAGTTGGGGAACAACTGTAATGAGATACATCACCCTTGTTTAGATAATGGCTGAAAAATCCATCCGCATAGATTATTCTGCACTAATACTTTTATGAATAATAACCTGAAATGGAAAGGCCTGCCCCAGAGCAATTACAGGTAATGCTTACCCAAGTTTAGATGTTTCTCCAAAATGCAGTGAGCCAGTGAAAGGCTAGCACATTTCTGGAAAGTAGTGTTTGATTTTTGGAGGTTTAAAAAACAAACAGAGCTTCAACTGTTGACTCCCCCACGGAAGTTTGTACTGTTTCAAGGTGCCAGAGGGGAAACAATGTCAGTGACCCTTAGAATCACTCATTTAGTTTGTGATTTTCCCATCATCCTTAGAATACAGGATTCCTGTAGGCCCTGCTCAAATACCCCTTTAGGAAAAACCTGTGATATTTTGGACAGGCTCTGGCCGATTTCCAAACTGAAGAGTGTGGCCCTATAGGAAAGTTACTGCCTTTCTTCACGTTGGAGTTGATCAGTATTGAAATGTTCCTTCCCTGACTCAGGGGTGGGAGAAGTGGTGGGAAAGGTCCGTAACAATTGCCGTGAGTCAGGGCTGTTCCCTTTGCTGGAGCGCTCCTGACGTAAGCCAGAAAATATGCCTGGTTTGCGAGATTTAAGAATGGTAACTAGAGAAAGGGAAAATGTTCCTCGTTCAAAACTAGTGATTCCTTCCTTTTCCTTCCTTTTGCAAACCCTATACTTTTGGCTCCTAATTGAAAAATAATGATACAACCTAAGCATCAGCAGGATTGCTAGAGCTACATGGTTATTTCTAAGTTCAGTCTTGCTGTCGGCTTCATCCAGGCCATGTTATTATCTCTCATTCGGTTGAATCACACTGTTGGAAAAGACAGCAGAGGTATCTACTTTTGTACCTGATTATTGCCTTGAGGATAGGGATTTAGGTTTGAATGTATCTTTGTGGCTGAAATGCCTGGCACACTGGAAGTACTCCATGCATGTTTGATGCATTAAACCTTAATTAAGTCATATTTTTTTTTTGCTACTTAGATGCACAATGGTCATCTGACCTCTGTTTAAATAATGCCGTTTCCAGGGAGCTAGCTATTTCATGAAACATCTTTTGGACATCTTTACTTTAAAAAAATTAGATTAAGCCCAAATCTGCCCACTTGTAGTTTCTATAAACTATTCTTAGTTCTGACCTTTGGAAATGTAAGAATAAATATGCTTATTTATTCTGAGCTATTTCAACAATTTTAAGCATGTGGGCTCATGTATCTGTCAGAAAAGGCTGGGTAGTGCCACAGTAACAAGCAATCCCTAAATCTCAATGACTTAATCAAACAAGAACAGTTGATTTCATGCTCATGCTCCTTGTCCAGCATGGGTCAGCAGGGCAGCTGTGTATATCATTGCCCCTCAGGGGCCTGTATGGATGGAGGTTTACACATCCGTGGTGGGAAGAGCATGTGTCAAGTTGCTCACAGACTCTTGAACTCCCACACTGCCATCAGGAACATGACACAGATGCACATACCACTGGCCAGAGCAAATCAGTAGTCCATGACCAACTGGAGAAGAATTGGGAAAGAGCAGCCTTACTGTCATCTGTAAGACAGAGGTTACAAATATTTGGAAAAGAGCTTTGCTGTCTCTCCCAGATCTGGGGCTAGACTATTGGGGTGAAAACCTGCTACAAACCTTATAATGTATGCGACTGTCAGTGTGTAACTTGGCCTCTGTGCCTCAGTTTTCTCATCTGCAAAATGCAGATGACAGTGACCACTTTGCAAGTAAGTACTCAGTATATATTAATTACTGTTACTCTTTGATTTTGACCGCCTTTGATATGCTTGTGGGCAAATAATCACAGTCTCCCTACAGTTCTTCTTCGCCTTATTCCTAGCTTCCTCAGCCTTCCCTTGTATGGTGGCCTTTCATCATTCTGACTTCCTTTGCAGGTTATACTATATTTTGTAAATTTCTAAAAATATAGTGTCTAAAAGTGAACACGATGCCCCAGGTGGGATATGGCCACATCAGAGTGTATTAGGGTAGTTCCTTTCCTTGATTTATACACAACCTATGCTTCTGCAGTGTAAGATCACCCCTAATAACTCAGTATCCATGTCCTGCTATTGTCTTTAGAGTCAATTCCCTTCCATTCAAGCTTTCAGAAACTTTTTCACACAAGCTGCTGTTAAGCCAGGACATCATCTCCATTATATGGTGTTGCACCTGAACTTAAAACCAAAAGAGAAAAGAAAGTACTTTAAATGATAGGATTTTATTTTTCTTCCCTCTAGGATACTCATTGCCACCTTAACTCGTCCTTCTGTTATATCATGATAGTTTTGAACCTTCGTTTTGTGATACAACATTCCTGTGCCAGGCTTTGGGTCATCTGCGGAGTTGCTGTTCAAGTGCTTTCTGTGCGCCTAACATAAATACATATGTTTTCCTGTTTTTTTTGTTCTCACAGGAAACGATCTTACAGATAAGGCAATTGAAACCCATAGACCCATAAGTGGCTAGGCCCCAAATCACATAAGAAGTGGGGAACCAGAATTCAGACTGGTTTTCCGGAGGCTGTGTTCTTCCCAGACTGGGAGGCTGCCTCTCTAACGTGACTCGGTGAGCCTGACAGGTCGTGTGATGCGGGGCAAGGGCAGGTCCTCCCACCACGCCTCTGGAGACCTCGCTCCTAGAGATGGGCTGCCCGGCCCCTGAGGACGGCTGCTGCCGAACCCTCATTCTTCCAAGTTGATTGTGAAGTTACCAAAAGAGATTTTTTAAAAATTGTCTTGATGAGCTCAAAATGCGCTTTGTCCCTAGCATACCTACTTATTACCTCCCACCTTAAGGAAGTGAGTTAATGAATAAATAAACAATGAAGGAATTAAATAACCTAAGTGACAGAATAAAAGTACAAAAATGTCTCTGAGTTGTATTTCAAATGTCCACTTTCACATTTGAGGTACGACTCGGTGTTTATACTGTTGCTCAGGGGCCACCTGTGAGCACCTTGTTGAGTGACGTAGTTAGGTTTTTCCGTCATGGTCACTTATCCTGCCAAATGCTCCGTGATTGGCACACTCCATTTTTTATTAATAATCTTTGATAGTAGTGCATAGAAAAGCAATTCTAAGTAAAAAGTAAATCATTTCCACCATTTCTCAAGGTGGTTCCAGGATTTCTTAGCAGTGAAGAAATTACTAAGGGAGAATTATGATATGTGGTCTTCCAGGAAGAAATGATCCTGCTAAGACTGTCATCCAGTGGAAACAAAGTAATGGCATTGTGATTCCACGGGTCTATTGGTGACCCCCTTTCAGGAGCAGTGGGTCCTTTCTAGTTCCCTGCTTCCCACATGGACCACTTTTGTGCAAAATGTTTCCTTTGTGAAGTCAGCAGGAGTTCTGGGTATAGGAGGAGAGAATTTGAAACAAGAGATGTTTGGCTCTTAATTTTTTACCATTTGTCATTTGCCTTTTTGGCCCTGGGTAGAAAATTTTCAAAACGACTTAGAGACACTGAAGTTCGCCTGCTTACCCTGCACAAGGGAAGAAAGCTGGAAGTAGAATTCTAGGTTTATAAAGGCCTCACTAGTCAGAATCCAGACCCTGTAGTGTAAATACATTTTACAAGGCCGCTCTGACAAATGAAAGTTTGCACTTAGGCCATGATAAAAGGCTCCTGCTTACCTGGCCCTCAGGCCACGTTTGAATCTGGGAGGGTATTTACTTACCCAAACTTGGAAGTGTTTGAAACCTTTCAGAACTTTGGCTTAGTTTGACAGTAGGCATTTGAGGAACATTAAAACAAGTGCCTTCCAAGTAATGCTGTGATTGGCAGCATTCCCTCAGTGTAATGGTCCCTGGAGACACGGTTCTGCCGGCGGCTTTTGTAAGTAACGCCTAAGACAGCCAGAGAGGACTGTCTGTAATGCTTCTCTGTCCGTGATCTCTAGCTGATTCTCTGTATGATTAATGTCCACTGGGCATTATTCCTACAAACAATGTTCCTGTGAGACGGTGGATAGAGCTTGCGGGGGATTCGAAGTCTGG